GTTGTCCTATACAAGGGGCCAGGGGCACAGGCTGACGCGAAACATGTTTCCTTGTTTTTTCCACACGCACACACCAAAAATAGTCCGACCTCTAGGAAGCGCACTATAACTGAAAACCACAAGATGTACCGGAGGAGGGATTGCTTTTACTTTCATGCAGGCCTCAACATGCCACATGCGCCCATAATGATACCACCCCCTCTTAGGGAAACGACATGAAAAGGGAGCCAGTATTCCCACACCCAAATGTCCCGCCCAAGGATGTCAAGCCAACACTTCTCCCGAGGCACAGTCCCACTTCCAGCTTGCACGACACATTGATATCAGTGCGACGATGGGGAGCGGTGAGGATTCGAAACACGATGGGTTCGAGCCCTGGGAGAAGGGTGATGTGTAGGAACAGAAGTGAAACACGCAGGATCCGAGTCCCAGTCGGAGAGAATAGATCGGAACATACGTAAACACACAGAGGATCGGAGCCCCAGTCGAGGGGCACTCTACAGGAACATACGGAAACACACAGAGGATATCGAGCTCCAGGAGAGAAGTCATCGATAGAAGCGTGCGTAAGCCACAAAAGATGTCGAGCCCCAGAAGAGGGGCGGCGAAGACAAGCTGGGGCGAAGCCGATGCGGGCGAAGCCTGCGGGGGGCCGAGAAGCATTCCCCGGACGCAGACCCCGATACAGCAATCGGGAGCCTTGAGACGGGGGTAAATGCAAACGGGGGTCAGCCAGAGCGCCCGATCTTGCAGGATCCTGCAGGGCCAGGGTCGCATTGACTTGGGCTTGGGTGCAGGATCCTACATGGTCTTGCAGGATCCTTCGTGTTTGGGTCAAGGATCTTGCAGGATCCTGCAAGGCCCGATTGACCCGGGTCCGGATTGACCCGGGTCAGCAGATCCCCGAAGCAAAATGCCTCCTGGGATCTCTTGGGAACTCCTTGGGCCTCCTGGGGGCTGTCCCATACAGAAAGGCGTATCGCCTGGGGGCGGGGGGGGCGAAGAACGCTCCTCGAACACATATCCCAGTACATAAACATACCTCCTGGGGCCTCCTAGGAGCGGAGGGGTCGAAAATCACTCCCCGAACACATATCCGAATGTAGAAAATAGAAATGCCTCCTGGAGCCTCCTGGGGGCGTGAGGGCGGAAAAACTGTTCCGGAACAAGTATCCCTAGAGCGTCCTGGGGCTTCCTGGGGCCTCCATAAACAGCGGCAAGATTTTTCTGACGGATACCCTAGTGCTGCTGAATTGCGACGACGTCTCGAGCGAAACAGCCGTTCTGGCATCCGCGAGCATCATGCCTCGAAGGACCTATTTGTGGTGGTAAGCTGCGAAGAAGTCTCCAGCGAAAAGGCCGTGCCAGCGTCCGCGAGTAGCAGCAGCTTGGTTTTGAAGGAAGAAGCCTCGAGCGAAACGGCCGTCCTGGCATCCACAAGCAGCGGCAAGACTGCTCTGAAGGACCCCCTTGTGTAGTGTTAAATTGCGAGAAACTCTCAGGCTAAAGCGCCCTTCCTGAGGCTCGGGCCCTCTCTGGTCAGAGCCTCTCGGAGTAAATTGTGAGGACTTATCGCACGGGAGCGTTGTTGTTGTTGTTGTTGTTGCTGCTGCTGCTGTTGCTGTTGCTGTTGCTGATGTTGCTGTTGTTACTGTTGTTGCTGTTGTTGTTGTTGCTGTTGTTGTTGGGAGGCCAGTTTGGGCGGAACTCTGAAACGCTTGAACGTTAGTTTCAAGCAGCTGGCGCTGGGGCGAAGGCGCCAGGGCGACTGTAGGGGTATTATATCTTATGCAAGAAAAATGTCGTGCAGGCTTATCCAAGAGGGGTTGTCCGGTGGGGTTGTCCAGATCGCCGCTGGGTTGTCCAAGGAGTTCTCCGGGGTAGGTCGTCTTGTCGTCATTAATCAAAATGGGTTGTCGGGGATGTCTCGGACGGGGCTTGAACGAGGGTAAATCCGTTCCCGAGCGTGCCAGAGCGTTCTCAGAGCGTTCCCGAACGCTCTGAGAAGGCTGCGGCGCCCGAGACATTCTCCAGAGCCACCAGATGTCAGAGATGTTCGATTTATCCTCACCCGGTTTTATCCTCGTCCTGGTTTCGTCCTATCTTGTCGTCATTCATCGGAGCATGGGTTGTCCAGGGTGTCTGGGAGGCGTCCAGGGTTTTGCGTTGAGTGGACTATTCCCCACATCCTGAGTGGGGTTCTTTTTTTCCCAGAACACCCTCTCCTTCTCCTCCTCCTCCTCCCGCGTCCTTCTCCTAAACCATATCATACGATACCATTCCGCACATCACCATACCATACCAAGCCATACCATACCATACCAATACCATACCAAGCCATACCATACCAATACCATACCAATACCATACCATACCAAGCCCAACCATACCAATACCATACCAATACCATACCAAACCATACCAAGCCATACCATACATGCCATACCAAGCCATACCATACCATACCAATACCATACCAATACCATGCAACACCTGTTATTTATCAGGTTTCGTCTGAGCTCCCTCCCACCATACCAATACCATACCAATACCATACCAATACCATGCGCCCCTCCCGCCCCTCCAGGGAGGCCCCGCCTGAGCGAGGAAGCTATTCGAAAACAGTGTTATTTATTACCTAACAGCGAAGACTGATAGGTTTCTAGTGGGATCAAAAGAGAGCAGCAGATCACTCCACAGGGGGGTCCGGGCAGGTGTTGGGAGTTGCCGGGCGGCAGGTGCCGGGCTCGTTTTTCACCAACAGTCACACACTTCGTGCTCTTCGACTTCCCAGAACTCCATTCCCAGGCCACATTCTGAATACCCGGATGCAACAGTCACACACTTCGTGCTCTTCGACATCCCAGAACGCCATTCCCGGGCCACATTCGGAATAGCCGGACGCAACAGTCACACACTTCGTGCTCTTTGACTTCCCAGAACTCCATTCCCGGGCCACATTTTGGATGCCCGGAGCCAACTGTAGGCCACTTCGTGCTCTTCTATTTCCCAGAACTCCATTCCCGGGCCACATTTTGAATGCCCGGAGCCAACTGTAGGCCACTTCGTGCTCTTCGAGTTCCCAGAACTCCATTCCCGGGCCACATTTTGAATGCCCGTAGCCAACTGTAGGCAACTTCGTGCTCTTCGACTTCCCAGAACTCCCATTCCTGGGCCACATTTTCAGCAGGGGCAAGAGCACGACGAGGAGGAGGACGAGCAAGACCAGGAGGACGAGGACGAGCAGGAGCAGGACGAGGAGCAGGAGGAGCAGGAGAAGAAGGACGAGCAGGAGGAGGAGGAGGACGAGCAGGAGGAGGAGGACGACCAGGAGGAGGAGGACGACCAGGAAGAGGAGGAGGAGGAGGAGGAGGGGAGGGGGAGGAGTACCAGGAGGAGGAGGAGGAGGAGGAGGAGGAGGAGGAAGAGGAGGAGGAGGAGGAGGAGGACGAGGACGAGGAGGAGGAGGAGGAGGGGGGGGGAGAGTACCAGGAGGAGGAGAACGAGGACCACCAGGAGGAGGAGGAGGAGGAGGAGGAGGAGGAGGAGAGACACCAGGAGGAGGAGGACGAGCAAGACGAGGAGGACGAGAACGAGGACGACCAGGAAGAGGAGGAGGAGGAGGAGGAGGAGGAGGGGGAGGACTACCAGGAGGAGGAGGAGGAGGAGGAGGAAGAGGAGGAGGAGGACGAGGAGGAGGAGGAGGAGGACGAGGAGGAGGAGGGGGGGGGAGAGCACCAGGAGGAGGAGAACGAGGACCACCAGGAGGAGGAGGAGGAGGAGGAGGAGGAGGAGGAGGAGGAGGAGCACCAGGAGGAGGAGGACGAGCAAGACGAGGAGGACGAGAACGAGGACGAGCAGGAGGAAGAGGAGGAGGAGGAGGAGGAGGAGCAGGAGAAAGAGGAGGAGGAGGAGGAGGCAGGCTGAGGCTGAGGCTGTGACTGCGACTGCCGTTGCCGCTGCGACTGTCATCGCGAATGCGTCTACGACTGCGAGAACAGCAGAATTCGACAACTGGATTTTCATCTGAATCTTAAGGGGAATGCTTTCAGATATGCTTCTACACATCGCTGTTAGGTTGCTTTGCCGGGATAATCAGGTTTCGTGCCCCTCCCACCCCTCCAGGGAGGCCCTGCCTGAGCGAGGACGCTATTCGAAAACAGTGTTTCACCCCTCCAGGGAGGCCCCGCCTGAGCGAGGACGCTATTCGAAAACAGTATTTTTTATCAGGTTTCATGCCCCTCCCACCCCTCGAGGGAGGCCCCGCCTGAGCGAGGACGCTATTCGAAAACAGTGTTATTTATCAGGTGTCGTGCCCCTCCCACCCCTCCAGGGAGGCCCCGCCTGAGCGAGGACGCTATTCGAAAACAGTGTTATTTATCAGGTTTCGTGCCCCTCCCACCCCTCCAGGGAGGCCCCGCCTGAGCGAGGACGCTATTCGAAAGCAGTGTTATTTATCAGGTTCCGTGCCCCTCCAACCCCTCCAGGGAGGCCCCGCCTGAGCGAGGACGCTATTCGAAAACAGTGCTATGTATCAGGTTTCGTGCCACTCCCACCCCTCCAGGGAGGCCCCGCCTGAGCGAGGACGCTATTCGAAAGCAGTGCTATTTATCAGGTTTCGTGCCACCCCCACCCCTCCAGGGAGGCCCCGCCTGAGCGAGGACGCTATTCGAAAACAGTGTTATTTATCAGGTTTCGTGCCACTCCCACCCCTCCAGGGAGGCCCCGCCTGAGCGAGGACGCCATTCGATTATGCTAACGGAGTTATCCGCATAATGATGTTAGTGGGATAGCGGAATCAAGGATCATTTTGTCATGAAATTGCCGACCTGCCCTCGCCCTCTCCGTCCTTTTCTATCACATGGTTGGCCATTTCGTGACAAAATGATTATTGATTCCGCTATCCCAATAACGTCATTGTGTGGGGAACTCCGTTAGCATATTTTTTCCACTGAGTAGCAAGCATTCAAGAAGAGTCCGGCGCCTGCCCCCGCCCCCAGACGCTCCGGGTGGCGCACCCCGACCTGGAGAGTTGCGTGGGACTCGGCACCGCGGCCTTCGCGGCGGCCTCGGGCGTGAGAAGCGCCGGAGACGCGCGCGCGCGATCTCCAATCCACGCCCTTAGCAGGAGGATAATGATTGGCCTGTCCTCAGAGGAGGAGGAGGAGGAGGAGGAGGAGGAGGAGAAGGGATCCATTGACATCCTTTACATAGGTCAAAAAGGCATGTTGGGTTTGAAGATGTCGGAACTCCTAAACGCGCCACAAGAAGATTTAGAAAATTGCGTTCGGCGTCGCTTAGGATCAACAAAGCAAAACTGCACAAGCATGAACTTCTGGAGCTCCGTGCGGATGTCTTGGATCTGCGCTGGGCCCCCTGGCGGCGCCTCCGGCGCTGCCCCCTGGCGCGCTCCGCGCGCCAGGGAGGGGGGTCAAGTAAGGGCCCATGAAAGTTTATGTTTCTGCATTTGTTTCCTCTTCTAAGGAAGGAGGGAGAGGACACGATGCTCTCATTGCCATAGCCAGACCGATTCCTCCCTCCTATTTCTCCTCCCCGTCTCCAATTCACCCCTGTTCCCCCTGCCTCGGCGGGAGATCGTCATCATCGTTCTCATCATCATACTCATCATCATACTCATCATCATCATCATCATCATCATCATCATCATCATCATCATCATCATCATCATCGTCATCATCATCATCATCATCGTCATCATCATCATCACCATCTTCATCTTCATCATCATCATCCTCAGCATCAGTATCATCATCATCATCATCATCATCATCATCATCACCCTCATCATTAGCATTATCATAATCATCATCATCACGATCATCATCATCAGCAGGATCAGCATCAGCATCATCATTGGCATCGTTCGCATCATCACCACCATCACCATAATCCTTATCATTATCATCGACACAAGTTTGAGCATCACAATGATCACCATCGTTACCATCATCGTCAGCATCATGTGCAGCATCAGCAGAAGCAACACCACCACCACCACCAGCATCATCATGATACCTATCATTATCAATTGCATGATCATCATCATCATCACCATCATCATCGCCATCATCGTCATCATCGTTACCACTCGTAGCATCATCATCACCACCACCACCACCATCATCATCAACATCATCATCATCATCGTCACCATCATCAGCAGCAGCATCATCAGCATCACTGTCATCGTCGTCACCATTATCGTCATCATCGCCATTATTATCATCAGCAGTATCATCAGCATCATGCTCAGCAGCATCATCGTCTTTACCAGCATCATTATCGAATGGCCTTCGGCCAATCCCGCCCCCGTGCCTGGGTTGTGGGTATAAAGCCTCTTGGATGTTCCTTTGTTCGTGAGGATCTCGTGGGGGGCCTCTTGGAAGCAGTTTTGAGGCCTCTTGGGGCCCTTTAGGGGCCTCCTGGGGGCCTCCGGGGGCGGACGGTTCGGATTTTCGGTTCGTGCTCCCTCTCTTGGGCCCCTTCGGGGGCCGTCTTGGGGCCCTCTTGGGCTGTCTTGGGCGCCTCTTGGACCGTCTTGGGGCGCTCTTGGGCCGTTTCGGGGCCCTCTTGAAGGCCTCGTGGGCCGCCTTGGGGTGGTCTTGGGGGCCTCTTGGGTCGCCTTGAGGCGTCCGAGAACCGAACAGGCGAGAACGCCAAAATCTTTCAAAAACCCTTCACGGATGATTTGTGCCTCAAGGGGCCCTCTTGGGATGCTTTTTGGAGGCCTCCTGTGGCGTCTTGGAGGCATCTTGGGCCGTCTTGAGGCCATCTCGGACGCCTCGGAGCGATCTTTGGGCGACTTGGGGCCTTCTTTGACGATTTTGGAGGCCTCTTGGAGCCATCTGGTCTGGTTTGGGGGCCCTCCTGGGCGGCGTAGGCCGACGCGAGCGATTCCGGCGGATCCTAGGCTGGCCCTGGCGGGTCCTGGCCCGGGCTTTGAAAGACTTACATTTCTGGCGGCAGCAGCAGCACAGCCTTTTCAGTGCTGCGTGAGCCTTGGGGCACTCCACGTCGTGCCAGAGGCACGGGGGCGGATCACCATCATCGTCACCATCATTATCATCATCATTATCTCATCATCATTATCATCAGCAGCAGCATCAGCAGCATCATCATCATAGGCATCGCCATCATCAGCATCATCAGTATCATCACCGTCATCGTTTTAACCATCATCAGCATTAGGATGGTTATTCTTATCATTGGCATGATTAGCGTTGGCAATACTATCATTCTCAATCTCACCAGCGCTATTACGCACCACCTGCATAATCACCATTAGCATCATCATTGTAATCAGCATCATGATCAGCATGATCATCATTACCAGGAGTGTCATCATCATTATTTCCATTATCGTCATCTAAACACCATCAGTTAGATCATTTGTATCACCCTTATCACCATCATTCCAGCATTACACCATTCGCATGAGTTGCATCATCACCAGTATCGACATCATCCTCTAAGCCATAGCCAGCATCAACATCATCATCATCAGCACCATCATGGCCACCATCTGCATCACCATGCTTACCATCACCATCATCATTCTCATCTTCGGTGTCAGCATCCTCATCCATATCATAAGATTTCCCCAACATTAACATTACATGATAGTTTTCAAGCCGAGAGGGCTGCACACAAACACACACACACACACATACACACACACACACACACACACACGCGCGCACCAGAATTGAAGCGGAGCCTCTCCGTGTTCACCTCTGCCTGAATTATCCCTCAATCATGCGTAGTTATTTGGCTATCAAGAGAGCGGCGACAGGATCTGAGCCCCAGTACCGAATCTGAAGGCCGGTCCCTTGACAGTTTTCTGCCACAACATCGGGACACATTGACTGCAGCATAGGACAAATATGATGGTGTCAACACTGACAGCGCGATTTTGGCAGCCCATTCGTCAGGTTCTCGGTTTCTTTGATTTTTGTTGGATGGCGCACGCAGCTGGAGATCGCAGGAGCCGCAGTGGTCGCAGGGGTGACGAAGACGTAGATGTTCGATCGTAGTTTTCGACATTGACGCGTGAGCAACAGCGTTTCGAACAAGAACATCAACAGGTTAACATCCATACCATCATGCACATGCAGGCTGAGTTGCGAGAGAGGCAGCACAAATGGCAAGAGCAAGTCAATGCAGGCAGCAACGTTCGCGCATAATTACCCCTAAGCCCTCTGCTGCAGCGTCTGCGCATCACCCGCTGGCTCAGACAACCGCTCGGGTGAATGTGGTCCGCGTTGCAGTGCAGCAGCGGGAGCAAAACACCATGAACCTCCCAGATGCGGTGAACAAAGAGTGGGATAAACTTAAGTTGGGTTTGAGAAGAACGTACTCAAGCTGGTGCGTACCAGGGCCGCGCTGGAGAAAGCACGCGACGAAGTTGCGATTTTGGCAAGTAGCGACATGGATGCGTATCCGAACGGTGCGCGGGCATTCAAAACGAACTCGGTAGCAACAGAATTTGATAATGAATTGCCAGTGTCGCGTTCTGAAAATGCTGGTGTCAGAAATGTTGCCCGCAAAAGGTCTTCCGTCTGTGAGGCCATGCGGGTCGTTCACCTGGTTACCAGTCGAAGAGTTCCTCGTGAAGGCGTTGGAGACCCACGAGCAGACGCTGAGAAATAATTGCTCGAAGCAGTTTGTAAAAATGGGCAGCGCGATTCTTGACAGCGCCACGAAGTACCACGCCACGGAGTTGGGCCTCGAGGCCCTAAGGAAAAGAAAAAGAACAGTCGAGCCTACGATCGCGAGTGCCAAGATCGAGTCCCTGCATTCCGAGATGATAGACGGGCCGCACCGTGCCGAATAGGAAACGAAGGAAGGCGCACAGAAGGGAAATGAGGAACGCACGAGGCAGGAAAGAGAAGCTTTGAAAGCGCAGCCTGAAGAGATGTTTGCCGAAGTGGTCGTTCCGAAGGTGGATGAGCGATGTAACCAAGAGGGCTCGATGTCCCTGGACGCCGACATGGGCGCGCCCTCAGCTCCAGGCGCCGGTCAGGGATGAGGGGGAGGAGGAGGAGGAGGAGGAGGAGGAGGTCGCGGTCAGGGATCCGCGGAGGCCGAAAAACGGCGCGGCCCCGGGGGCGGCTCCGGGGCGGCCGCAGACAGGCACCATCACAGGCGAGCCAGGCGAGAAAAGGCAGGGGCGAGGACGACAAAGGGCAAGGCCACAGGCAAAGGCGAGAAGGGTCGTCCAGTCAACGACGGTGGAAAGCGTCGGCCACCGCGCAAATCTAGGCCTCCTAGATGGGGTTCGGAGTAGATGGGGTCGGAGGATCACGCCGCATCGATGCATCGCCGATGCGGCTCGATATGGAGCCCGATTTTCTCCACGTCGACGGAGCCGATGCGTTGCCCACGTCGACGACGCATCGCTGGCGCATCGCCGATGCAACGCCGATGCGACCCCATCGAGGAGGCCTCTAGCAAAGGCACAAATACATGGAAATGAAAAGTTGTGGCGCCGCTGGCGGAATGGCCAGCTGCTAGGGGGCATGTTGCGGGGCGCGTCTTCCGCGGATAGGCTTTCCACCATGCAGTGCAACGCTGAAGCTTCTAAAGTGGACGCGCGCGACCCTTTGAACAGGGCAGCGCGCCCATCAGGTGCAGCGTCTTGGCCAGCGAATTCGCAGCTCAACATGTTTCGTTATAAGCATGTTTGTTGCTCAGCATGCGCCCGAGGGCAGCGAACTTCAGGGTGGATGTGCGTTTTTGACGCCGGAAATATGGATCACCAGTGAAGTCGCGACGAACATGACGAGAAACAAACGCCACCGCGCTCAGCAACAATCCCCCCTGAGAGAAGTTCTGGACTGACGCGCTGCAGCGTCAGATCCTGAACAGTAGATCTATGCGACGGCAGCGCCTTGAGCACTGCCAGAGGACCATCGGCATTTTTCCACATGCTCGCCTATCTTTCCGTCTTCCTCGCGGTTCACATCGTGTCCCACCCGAAGAACGACAAAGAAATGGGCTACATGTTGGTCCTTGCGGAGGCTGGCGCGTTGATAGAAATGGAGTTTTTCTCAAACGGCGACTACAAGGAATTTCTGGATGGCTGGCACGATTTCCACGGGTTCGCGCACGAGCATAGCGATGGCACCAGAAATCCAGCACGAAGAGCGCAAGCCCATCGCTAAAGACATCATGCGTCGTATGTTTACACCCGGCGGTTCGGTCAGAGCGCGCTTGTTGAAAATGTGTGCCAAGCATAAAACATGCGTGGTTTTCCGCAACGTGCACGCGACTGAACAGTTTGTTTTGACGGGGTTGGCTCATTGGGTCTCCTGGGGGATCAGAACAAAATTCAGCGAATTGCGTTGCGAAGGAAGCAGAGAAGCAGCACTTCGATTGACGCCTCGACCCTTCAGTCACTCCGCAGCGTTCCTTATCTTGGACGTTAGATATTGTCATGAGTGGATGTACGGAGTCTTTGGCTGAAGATGTTTAGGCGTCATTTACTCGACGGGAAATCAAATGTCGGGACGAGCGTTCCACCTGGTTTTGGACAACCTGTATGTCGTGTTTCGGAACTTCCAAGGTCGAGTGTGAAAGGTTGCGAGGGGCATCGGCATAGGGTTGCCGCACAGCGGCGACTTGTCCGACCTCGCTCTGGCCAATCGCATTGAGCGATGGGTGATCATTAATTGTTTTGCTCGCGGCAGTTTACACTACCTCAGGCTTCGGGGCGATCTGCTGGTCAGCGGCACAGTTTTGGCAAAAGCTCATGTGTTCTATCAGGCCATCAAAGAGCACGCCGCGCGAGCACGCTGATACTTCAAACTGGCCTTATCCGGAGGCGGCCGTGAGTTGGTTGGAGCTCACGCTTCGTGGACGTAACGCAGCTTACAATCCTAAGTTATGAAGACACGTCTAAAACACCCTTCTCTCGTTCAACTAGTCACCCTGAACGCATGCACTCGCTCTGGCCCCGTGGGAGACTGCGCTCGTTGAAGACTGTGCCCTCGCCCAGAGTACTTCGAGGAAGCAGTCCAAATAGCATGGGGTGGGCTCTTTCAAACTTACACCCCACGTCAATTAGATGTACTGGTCCAAAACAGGGCGCCGCGTCTGCGCGCAGCACGACGCGGTGACCTGCGGAATGTTGCGTGGATTAAGATTAGGCCACCATCCAGACATCGATTGTGCAGCGCGGAAGGCTGTGCTTGTTTGTTTCCACAGTCCGGTTTGGAACGACGTCTTGACGGGGAGCGTCGCGAAAGCCGGCTGCCTCGCGCCATGTTATCGCGCGCTCCCCGACCTGGCAAACTTGCGCGGGCGTATTGGAGATAGGGCGGGGTAGGTGGGTTGGCTTATCATTGATATCGTTATCAAGCCGAAAGGGACGCGAACACAAAGTGAGCCCGGGATCCCCTCCCGGGACGGGCGGTCGGCGGGTAACGGTTCCCTTCCCCCCCCCTCTGAGTTTTCTCTCGGTGATGGGTCCAGGTGTAAAACTGGGGGGAAAGTAAATCCATGGGTCTTCGGATTGCGTTTCCTGCTTTGGTTGAGGGGTGCTGGGGCCATGGGCGAGGAACCGGCTAACCCACGCCCGTCAGGGGGCGCCCCCTCTGGATCTCTGGTGGGGGACGGGCTGTCGGTCTCCGGCGGTGGGTCTCTCGGTTCGTTCTCGGCTCAGCCGTCCCCGGAGTCTTCGGGGAACTCGTTTGGGGGCGGGACGTCACACACCCCACCCCCACCATCGAGGCGGTTGGGTCTCCGGACCTTCCTCGGCTGCCAGGGGGAATGGGGGCCCCGGCTACGCCACTGGCCCCGGCGAGCCGGCGGGGTATCTGGGGGGAGGGGCGGCTGCGTCGGCTGACGGTGGCTCTGGCCATGGTCAGTCGGGGTGGCCGCCTCCACAGTCACCCGCGGGACAGGAATTTGAAGGCCACCAAGAGAGTAGGTCCCATAGGAGGGCGCAGAGACGCGAGCGTCGGAGGACGGCTCGGGAGGCTCGCAAAAAGGAGCGTAGATTGCGAAAAAGGTCTCAGGCAATGCATCGCCTTTCCATTTTGCGCAAGCAGAGACGCCCCCGCGCTCAGACCCTCGTTGGGGGCACTTGGAACACTCGTAAGTTGGGGGCTTTCGGGGGGGTGGGGGACCCGGAGATGAAGATCCAGTGTATCCTGACCCTCCTGGCGGTCCGTGGGTGGTCGCATGGTCTGCTCAGTGATCTGGCTTTTGCTCACAATGGCGTGCGGGAGTATATCTGCAGAGGACAGAAGTGGACTCTGATCATCCGCGGCCGCGCGGGGATAGTTTTGAACGCGAAGCTAGCACGGGTCTGGAGGGAGGGGGGGGGGGGGGGCAAGGTTGCAGTGCGAGGTGGGCACGAGCGCAAAAGCACCAGGTGCATGGGATTGATTTTTCCTCGCAAAGGTTTTCGGCGAGGGCTGTCCTTGCTGTGCGCGCGCGCACCGGTGTCAGGACCTCAACAATCAGAGGCGCGAGAGCGCTTCTACGACGAGGTCCGCTGGGTGGAGACACGGAGCAGGGGAGCAGATAATCTCCTCGTGGTGGGTGGCGATTGGAACGCTGAGGTGGGGAGGCCGCAAGACGTCGATGAACGAGCGGCTTTGGGGGTCCACGGGGGGCGTCGTCGGACGGCAACGGGCGTGGACCTCCTGGCGTTCTGTCAGGAAGAGGCGTTGTTCGTAGCAAGTACGGCGTTCGCCCAAAGGCTGCCCGGCACCTGGCTCCACCCACGGCATCGGTCTTGGCACCAGCTAGACCACGTGATGGTCCGACCGAGAGACCGTAGTCAGCTTCGATACGCGCGCACCTTGCACTACGGCCCCGGGGGGGTGCAGGGGGAAAGGAGGGCAAAACGCCGAAAACGCCGTCGCTCGGACGACGTGCGGCACGTCCGAAAGGACGGAATCGTGGCCTGGTCCGCGTATGCGGACCACGAGCCGGCGGAAGTGGGAATTACCGTGAGCGGTAGATGGTTGTTTCGTGGCCGTCACACCGACAGCCGCCCAGCGGTCCCCAACTACTCGGCGATGCGGGGGTCATCCCCAGCGGCTAAAGAGGCCCGGGCTCACTACGGGCAGGTCTTGACGGATATGCTGCTGAATTTTCCGGCCCCTTTTGGGTGGAAGGAACTGTGCGACATCGCTCGCGCAGCGGGATTACCGGCATTGGGAAAGCGTCAAGCCAGGGCGCAAGTGCCCTGGTTACGGGGCCATGAAGAGGAAAAGAGGAGCCTCGACGAGGACATGGGGCGCGCCAGGGTAGCTTACGCCCTTTCAGACGACGCCGGGGCCCCTGCGGCCCTCGCGGAACGTCGTAGAGTAGCCCGGGAACGGCGTCGTACCCTAAGGCGGTGGGAGCGAGAGCATTGGACCGACATCGGCGCGCAAGCGTCTGCAGCCGCCAGGATAGGAGATCAATCAGAGCTCTTCCGACTGTTCGGTGACCTCAAGAATCGGCGCCATGATCGTCGGGATTCTGGCGTCGTGTCGACAGAAAATGTTGACGAAGAAAGAGAAGCATGGCGCAAACATGTTGCGCAGATTTCTGGTACGATTGGGGCGGTTGCCGACCACGTATGGCAAAACATCCCCCTGGCTCCCACCGCCGAACGGCGGCTCGCAGAGCCACCCAACGACATCGAACTAGACCAGTGTGTGAGTAAAACGAAGACAGGGCGACAACCGGGGGGGGGCGGATTTGCATCGGAAGCGCTAAAATATGGAGGTGCGGCGTTCCGCGCGGCGGTATTCGATCTCGCCAGGAAAATGCGGAATTGCGCGGCGACCGCAAAGGACGGAGAGGAAGCGGCTGCTTGGCCCCGCGAGTGGCGAGAAGCGTTGGTTATTCCACTCTGGAAGCAGAAGGGGGCCCGAAAGGACAAGAACACGTGGCGGGGTCTTACCCTGCTGTCCGTCGGGTCAAAATTGGTTGCGCGGGTGGTAGCGTCTCGCAAAAGTATGTGGTCCGAGCCTTGGATGGGAGAGTCGCAGTCGGGATTCCGGCGCGGCCGGGGCACTGACGACGCTTTACAAGTCACCCGCCGCCTGGTGGCGGAGGCCGCAGCCCTCCGGAATGAGGAAGCTGTGGTTTTCGATTTCTTCGACATTGAAAAAGCCTACCCCCGCGTTTGCCGGCCTGCTTTGTGGGCCTTATTAGCGCGCAGAGGGTGCCCCGATGGCATGCTCAGAGTCTGCAAAGCCCTACACAACCACACCGAGTGTCGGGTCCGGGTGCTAGGTGGTCTGTCGGACCCCTGGACCCCCGAAAGAGGACTCAGGGAGGGGGGTCCGTCCTCCCCCCCCCTCCTCAATGTGCATCACGACGCGGTGATGACGGATTACAGAGCCCGCCGCGAACGCGCGGCTGAGGCATTAGGGCGTGCCCCAGGACTCGAGATTACGCACCAGGTAGATGGCCGATTGCAGAAGAAAGCGCGGAACCGATTACGGTCGCAAGTATCCGACCACCCTAAGGACCTGGGATTTCGTCGGGTCGTCATCGGCGACGTGGGGTTTGCAGATGACACCGCCATTGTGTGGTTTGACTCTGAGATGCAAGTAGCCCGCCCCCTCCTTATCGAAACAATGAAGGATTGGGAGGAGAGCGTTAATCGGGGAAAAACAGAAGAGCTACGATTTCCAAAGGATCCACGCAGGCCCTATGACGTGAGAAGGGAGTTCGAGGTTAGCCAGCTGAAACATATTGGAGCCATACATATGGAAACTGGTATTCGGAGCGCCGACACAGCCCGGCGAGCGTCGACCGCCCGCCCGCTTGTTCAAGCCATCGCAAAAGGCTGGGCCGTGGGCACCGCACACGGCCGGGGCAGGACCAGTGGTGTAGACATCCCCACGAGATTACAGGTGCTCGAATCTTGCGTTGTGGGCTGTTTGCTTTACAGCTGTCGCTCTCGGGGGTGGACAAAGGAGGAGCTTCGCAAGCTCCAGAGGGTGGCAAACTATGCGGTCAGGCGAGCATTCGGCATGGATGCGTGGAATATGAGGGAGCACCACGTGACAGATGCCGCAATGCACGCCGCGGCCAACTGGAGGACCGTCGAGGATCAGGTCGCCAAGCTGTCCCTGCAGTGGCTGGGGCACGTCGCTCGGATGCCAACATGGCGCGCCCCCAAGCAGGTCCTCTTCGGTTTTATATCCAGCCGCGGTGGAGGAGTCGAGGAGCACACGAATCCGAACGGTCAGATCCCGTGGCTCCGAAGGTGCATCCGAAAGCTCACGTTTGACGAAATGGACTGGTTTCGCCGGGCCCAGTCCCGGAAGGGCTGGCAGAGCTCCATCAACAAGGCATTCCCCACGCAAGGCCGTGACGTGAACCGACGGGCGCTGTTGCGTGCGTGGAGACCAGGCCTGGCGCTCCCGGAAGCGGATCCTCCTCCTCCCCCTCCTCCTCCTTTTCCTCCTCCTCCTCCTCCTCCTCCTCCTCCTCCTCCTCCTCCTCCCCCTTCTCCTCCCCCTCAGGGAGGGGGTCCGCCTCCAGAGGGCCGGGTATACGCGTGCCCAGCTTGTTCACAACAGTTCACGGCGGGGAATCAGTTGTCATGTCATTACGACAATGAACACTCTGTACGAGACCCGTCTCTCGTCACATGGGCGTCACACCAGTGCCCAGATTGCAAAAGATGGTTTTCTAGAGAGGCTTTCCGCCTCCACAAGCCACGATGTCCAGCTAAGTTAGAATTTCGTCCGGCACTCCAAGTACATCACAATTTTGTCATGGGCCCTGTGCGGGGGCCCTGCCCGGCCCCTCCGCGGGGCTGGTGGGTTGCCACAGATGGATCTGGCAAGGATGGAACAGCGGGGTGGGGAGCAGTGATTTTTCGCTACGATGGTCCGGAGACCCCTGGTCAGATTCCGGACTTCGTGCTCCACGCCCCAGTCGTTACCGCTCAGTGGGGCCACCGGTGGCTAGGGGCACGCGATGAGACCAATAACACTGCTGAGCTTTCGGCGATAGGCGAGGTTATGAAATGGCTGTTAGAGGAAGCCCCCGATCCTGGGGGCGTCCCGGTGCACATCCGATACGACTCGGAATATGCAGCCAATATGGCGCAGGGTATTTGGACACCGGGCGCCAACGAAGAGCTGGCCCAAGCCGTCCGGGAGCTCACGCAGGAGGTCCGTCAGAACCGTCAGATCACTTGGGAGCACGTATATGGCCACACAGGCGCCAATGACAATGAGCTGGCCGACCGGGCTGCCGATGTAGGAAGGCGGGGTTTCGCCTCAGCGCAGTCCGGCCGGTGGTCGGCGCCGCCGCCAGCGGTTTGCGATCTATCATATGCTGAGACGGAGATCTGTAAGAAGTGCGGCCTGAGGGTCTTGAGTAAGGACATCACTTGGCACGTTCGCAGATGCACTGTGACAGAGCACGCCCTTCCCGAAGGACATACCAAGTGCCGCAAATGCGAGGCGTTGATCCTCGCGGCGGGCCGTCTACAGCATGAAGGCAAGTACCGAGGATCGCGTCTAGCGAACCGCACGCGCGGCAAGTGCGGCAAGCTATTTCCCGAGCCCCCGCCGGGACAGCTGTCTAGGCCCATGCGAAATCACGAAGTTAAATGTAGGGGCGCGCCGAGACCTCCGCCGACCAGCGGGGCCCCTCTTCCTTCTCCTCTGCCCCCTCCCCCCCTGGCTCCTCCCCCTCCTCCTCCGTCGTCCTCTTCCTCTTCTTCGTGCCCCGCCCCCCCCCCACCCACCTCGTCTCGGCGCGGGTCCAATTGGCCCGGGTCACCCGCCCGCGGGCAGCAAGGCGCCGCCGAAGGCAGCGTCACCAGCCCGGCGGCTTGGCGCCCTACAGCGCGCCATCGTAAAGCGCCGCCCCTCCGCCAAACTAGGCGCAGGGGGGCGGGCGAAGAGCTCGGGGCCGAGCAGAGGGGCCAAAGCGATGTCGGGAAAGGCAGCTGCCCCGAAGCGGGGACACGG